TGTACCAAATCGCGTTCTTGATGGAGAGCATTTAGCATGATTGATGTTCAATACCGATACTCACGCAAGTCAAAGTGCTTGATTTATAAGCTAACACAGAAGGCAAATTACCTTGCATGCTGATGTACACAATAGATGACAAAGCCCATATGATGAACGCCAAGAGGATAAGGAGGATGAGAAGGTAACTGTTCAACAAGCCACCTCCAGTACAGTTAAATTTTCCTTTGTGTATGGAATACAAAACCAAAATTCCGATCCACCTGAGAGGCCAAAACAAAAACGTGGCAAAGTATTAACACACCAGAAAGAAACACTGGATCACCCTGCAAATTCACAGCACCAGCCCTGTCTTTCCAGAAGAGCAAGTTACTTCCGACCGAGCATCAAACCCCAAAGGACTTCACAAAGGGAACAAAAAGCCCATCTCCTACAATGACTTCAAACAAGCATCCTCCGTTGAGGTCTCCATTGTAAACAGCTGCAAAACAGCAAAAGAAAGGTTTGGAGATTGCAATTCCTAAAATTCTGGAAGCCTACTGGTAGCACCATGGTGACAATGTCACGTCATGAGATGGATTGTGGCTGAAATTCCCCCCCCCCTTTTTTTGCTTTGGAGACATCTAAGGTGGGCATGAAAGAAAGGGTAGAAAATGCCAACGTTCAACCACAATTAGATCCCCACCGCAAGATGGACCGGTTTCCAAATCAGAAACTTCTATGGAAGCTCAACTACTAAGGTATCTAGTAGCAGCCCTACCACCGAGAGTGGTCATCTTACCAAGTCACTCTGATGAATAATTCAAAGGCTCCAGGGAAAACAAAATCATCACTGCCGATAGCCCAGCGCCTCCCAAACATCACCATTCCAGGCATGGTGGAAACGAAGTCAAAGCTGCAATCCTTCAACCGCTGCAGGAGAACAAGGAGACCCAACACCAGGTTATGTCTTTCTTGCCCGTCTCTCCAAGGGAAAACAACTCGGAGCGTTGAGCCTATTGGCGTAAAAACATTTTTATAGGTTTACCTTAACAGGTTTTACAGAAAGACATGGAGAAAGATTGCAACTCCCCCCACAAAAGGAAATATAGAAAAAATGACAAAAAATACAGCTAGCCAAGTTAACAGAAAACAAAATTAGATTTACCTGCAGAGTGTCTTAGAATCAGAGTTGGAAGAGACATCTAAGTCATCTTAGTCCAACCCTCTGTTCTGTGCAGGAATCCACTAGAACTTCTCCAGCAGATGCCACCCAGTCTTCGAATGATGAAGAATATCCACTATTGTTCTAGGCAGATCATCCCACTGCTTAACAGCTCTCACAGTTAGCCTGACATTTTTAATATGTTTGGGCTTTCTTGACCTCCTTCCCGCTCATCATGTCCTTCCAAACTTCTTGAGGACACCATTATAATCAACCAAGGAGCCCTTCATCTCATTCCTTTCAGCTTTATTGGTTGCACCTTCCAAACAAGCTTTGGTGAAGCCATAGAGATTTAAGAGATCTCTTCTGTCTTTCTCTTTCCTGCCCTTACACACACTTCTCAAGAACGTTTTGATGGCACCATAAACAAATGGAATATTTATTGGGGCATATATTCTGATGGGACTATTGAAGGAGACTGGTCCAAGAGTGGACAGCCTGGTGTCCTCTAAATGTTCTGGATGACAAACCCCATAATTCTTTGTCACTGGCTAAACTGGCCAAGACTGATAGGAGCAAAACTTGTAAACATCAAAAGAGCCTCAACTAATTCACTAATTTATGAAGGATTGTACCACTGTAACTGATAGCCTTTAAGAGTCTCTGGCTGTGTTGTATTATAAACCAGCCTTTCTCAACCTTTTAACTCTGGAGGAATAATGCTCAGGTCTCGAAGAGCCTCTGTATAAACGTTGCAAAAACATGAAAACTTCACAGTACCAGTCACTTCTAGCCTAGACAATCCATGTTTTACGAGAACAGCAAATCAACAGGCCAGCAGTTGAGTCACAGCATGTACAAATTCCCACCACTGCAAGTGCAAAATTCAATAAATATTTTTTTCAATCATGACCTCCTGATTGGAACCCCCGTTGAGAAAGGCTGCCCTGCACCATAAGTTTACAAACCACAAACCCCCTTGCTAAGTTCTAATCTCCCCAAACCCCCATATTATGTTTTAGCCTGCCCTGGAATGAGGCCTTGATTTCATGCCCTACTAGAATTTGTTTGTTTAGGCTGTATGATCATTAACCATGGTTTATAAACTAGTACGCTGCGACAAACAGCCTCTGATACAGCAAACAGAGCACAGAAGCGTTATAGCACTTTTAAAAGATTATCTGATTTAGGGTGACGTAGTCTCATGAGCTAAAGCCCACTTCGAATCAGTTCATCTTTAGAGGACCCCAGACTATATCTGCATCTGATACACCTGCAGACCAACCTGAAATAAAACCAACCTTTTGTTTTTATTTCAGGTTGGAAGGAAGGAAGGAAGGAAGGAAGGAAGGAAGGAAGGAAGGAAGGAAGGAAGGAAGGAGGGAGGGAGGGAGGGGAGGAGGGGGGGGAGGAAGGAGAGGGGAAGGGAAGGAAGGAGGGAAGGAAGGAAGGAAGGAGGGAGGGAGGGAGGGGAGGAGGGGGGGGAGGAAGGAGAGGGGAAGGGAAGGAAGGAGGGAAGGAAGGAAGGAAGGAGGGAGGGAGGGAGGGGAGGAGGGGGGGGAGGAAGGAGAGGGGAAGGGAAGGAAGGAGGGAAGGAAGGAAGGAAGGAGGGAGGGAGGGAAGGAAGGAAGGAAGGAAGGAAGGAAGGAAGGAAGGAAGGAAGGAAAGAAGGAGAGAGAAAGGGAAAGAAGGAAGGAGAGAGAAAGGGAGGGAGGGAGGGAGGGAAGGAAGGAAGGAAGGAAGGAAGGAAGGAAGGAAGGAAGGAAGGAAGGAAG